GCCCTCAGTTTGTTTGCTATAGTTAAGAGTCTGTCGTGTTTTGTCTCCCTCTCTGATTTCTTCCCATTCAGATTTCCTGCCCTTCCCCTATGGTCCTATGTGCTATTCCTTACATTCTACAAGTAGAATGTAATGAAACCATATGATAATTGTCTTTCTCTGATGGGCTTATTTCACTTAGCATGATACCCTCCAGTTCCATCCATGTTGATGTAAATGGTTAAGATTTCACACTTTCTGATGGTTAATGAATATTCCATTGTATGTATGAGTGTGTGTGTGTGTGTGTGTGTGTGTGTGTGTATGTGTATATATACACACACATATCTCACATCTTCTTTATCCATTCCTCTGTTGGACATCTGGGCTCTACCAGGGCTTTCATCCTATGAATGTAGAAGTTGATATTCAGCCTAAGTCTTATTTAGATATCTCTGTTGATAAATATAATTCTTTGTCTCGGTGGCTTTCTCCTCTCCATAACTCTGCCTTGCAAATTCTAGCCATCCCAGTCTCCCTTAACACTGATCTCTCTCCTTAGCTCAATGAGATTTATGGTCTTTGGGTTTTCTCTCCTTGTGCTACAGTCTGGAAATTTCTTCCAGACAGAAAATCTGTCCAGTGATAGAGTGCATGTCATTTGTTGTCCTTCTTCCAGGTATTACAAGTTTTGCTGCCTGTTGTCCAATATTTTAAAATAGCTTTTCCTACATCCAGTTTTTAAGCTTGCATTGGTAGTCCAGACCCTGTTACTTTACCATAGGTGGAATTTTTTTGTATATTAAATTTCTTTAATTTCTTCATCTCCCCTGATTTCCTGGTTTGTACCTTAGTATTATTTTATTATTATTTTAGTACAATTTTCAATAATAATGGTGATAGTGGGCTACTTTATCTTGGAGGAAAACATTTAAGTGCTAATGCGGTTTATTTAATTCTGTTGTCTAAGAATATGCCTTCAGTTGTGTGATGATGACACCGTATTGCTCTATTTACAAATATCTTTATTTTAGATTTTTTTTTTTTAAACTAGGCTCCATGCTGGGTATGAAGGGCTTGAACTCACAACCCTGAGATCAAGACCTGAGGGGAGATCAGGAGCTGGACACTTAACTGAGTCACTCAGGCACACCACAAATATCTTTATTTTAAAATTTTCATTTGTAGGAGTAGCAAGGATATTGAAAATTTGATAAAACCCTGGGTGATAGGAATAATTTTCAGTTGCCAATGCTGATTGGCAAATTATTATCCTTATCTATAATTAAATTACATTACTCTGTTTTTATTATGCTAATAGAATAAATAAAAATATTGAAGTAGTGTTGGTGAGGCTGTGGGGAAATGGTTACATTTTGATATCAGTTTGGCATTATAGGACATGAAATTAAAACTATCCATAATTATAGGTGGATATATTTTTTAAAGATTTTATTTATTTATTTGGCCAAAAGAAAGAAGATCACAAGTAGGCAGAGCAGCAGGCAGAGAGAGAGAGAGGAAAGCAGGCTCCCCGTTGAGCAGAGAGCCAAAGTGGGGCTCAATCCCAGGACCCTGAGATCACGACCCAAGTTGAAGGCAGATGCTTAACCAACTGAGCCACCCAGGTACCCCTATAGGTGGATAATTTAATTTCTAAGACTATAGGTAATATACAGATGCTTACTGAAATGACACTTTAATTTGTCTCCATTTTCTTGAACTACTATTGTCAAATAAAAATGTATATATTTAAGTTTTACAATATGACATTTTGACAAATATATATATTGTACAATGATTATCACAATCAAGCTGGTTAACATATCAGTGACCTCACAAAAGTACCATTGTTTGTCTGTGTATGTGTGTGGCGAGAGCACCTAAGGTCAACTTAACCAAAATTACATGTAGGTCTCTCTTTCTCTCTCTTTTTTTTTTAGTTTCAGAGGTAGAATTTAGTTATTTATCAATTACATATAACATCCCGTGTACATTACTTCAAGTGTCCCTCTTAATGGGTCACCTTCCTCCCACCCACCTCCCCTCCAGCAACCCTCAGTTGGTTTCCTAGAGTTCAACATCTCTTCTGGTTTTCCTCCCTCTCAATTTTCATCTTATTTTAGTTTTCCTTCCCTTCCTTTATGTTTACCTGTTTGTTTCACATGAGTGAAATCATATGAGATTTGATTTTCTCTGACTGACTTATTTCACTTAGCATAATACTCTCTCGTTCCATCCATGTATTTGCAAATGGTAAGATTTCATTCATTTTTTTTTTTTAAAGAAGATTTTACTTTCAGTGAGGATACAAACCATGAGAGACTCTGGACTCGAGGAAACAAACTGAGTGTTTCAGAAGAGAGGGGTGGGAGGGGCAGGGTAGCTGGATGATGATTATTAAGGAGCGTACATGTGATGAGCATTGGGTGTTGTATGCAACTAATGAATCGTTGAACACTACATCAAAAACTAATGATGGTACTACATGTTGGCTAACTGAACATAATAAAAAATTAAAAAAACATTTTATTTGTTTATTAGAGAGAGAGAGAGAGAGAGCGAGAGTAGGAGGGGGGCAGAGGGTGAGGGAGAAGCAGGTTCCCTTCAGGGCTCAATTCCAGGGCACCAAGATCACAAGCTACCCAGATGCCCCAAGATTTCATTCTTCTTGATGGCCATCAAAAAGGATATGTATATCTTACTAAATATCAGTATGGCACCTTTTTCAATGATCAGTGTGTATGTGTGGATTTATTTTGGGTTTCTCTATTCTGTTCAATTGGTCTATATGTGTGCCTTTATACAAGCACCATACTGTTTTGATTACTATTGATTTTGAAATCAGGGAGTGTGATGCCCCCAGTTTGTCTTGGCTGTCAAGATTGCCTTGGCTATTTGGGGTCTTTTGTTGTTCCAAATGAATTTCAGGATTTTTTTTTTGCCCCCCTATATCTGTTAAGAATACCACTGGAGTTTTGATAGGGATTGCGTTGAATCAAGAAACCACTTTGGGTAACATGGACATTTTTACAAAATTAATACTTCTAATCCATGGACATGAGATGTCTTTCTATATGTCTTTTAACATTTCCTTCATCAATATTTTATAATTTTCAATGTACAAGTCTTTTTTTTGTCTTTGTTTAAATATTCCCAAGTATTTTGTTTATTTTTTGGATGCTATTGTAAATGGAATTGCTTTCTTAGTTTCCTGTTCTCACAATTCATTGTTAGTGTATAAAAATATCTCTGATTTTGTGCATTGATTTTGTACTCTACACATTTTTTGAATTCCTTGATTATTTCTAATTGTCTTCTTGTAGAATCTTTGGTGTTTTATTCCTATAAGATCATGTCATCTGCAGAGGTAATTTTACTTCTTCTTTTCTTATTTGGATACCTTTTATTTCTTTTTCTTGAATAATTCATCTGATTAGGACTTCCCTTATTGTGTTGAATAGATGTGGTGAGTGTGGGTATCCTTGCTTTGTTCCAGATCTTAATGGAATAGCTTTCAGTTTTTCTCACCATTGAGCATGACGTTAGTTGTGGGCTTGTATATATGCCCCTTATTGCGTTGAGGTAAGTGCCCTTTATATAAAATTTTTTAGTTTTTAACATGAAAGAGTGTTGAATTTTGTTATATGTTTTTTCTACATCCATTAAGATGATCAAGTGGTTTTTTAAACTCTATAAGGTTAACGTGCTGTACCATATTGATTGATTTGCATATATTGAACTATCCTTGCATCTCTTGGGTAAATTCTGGTTGTTATTGGTGTATAATTCTTTTAGTGTGCTGTTGAATTCAGTTTGATAATATTTTTGTTGAGTATTTTTGCCTTTGTATTCTTCATGGAAGTGAGCTTATAGCTTTCTTTTCTTGCAGTGTCTTTGTCTGGCTTTGATTTCAGAATGATGCTAGCCTTGTAAAATGAGTTTGGAAGCGTACCTCTTCCTTTTCATTTTTTTTTGTGGGGGAAGAACCTAAGAATGATTCTTTAGATATTTGAAGGATGGCACTTTTTTGTTGTTGGATTTTTTATTGCTGAGTCAATCTATTTTTTCTTAAAAAAAAAAAAAGATTTTATTTATTTATTTGACAGAGAGAGAGATCACAAGTAGGCAGAGAGGCAGGCAGAGAGAGAGGGGGAGCAGGCTCCTCGATGAGCAGGGAGCCTGATGTGGGGCTTGATCCCAGGATCCTGAGATCATGACCCAAGCCGAAGGCAGAGGCTTAACCCACTGAGCCACCCCAGTGCCCCTGAGTCAATCTATTTTTTGCTGTTTTTTTTTTTTTCATACATTCTATTTCTTCTTACTTCAGTCTTGGTAGGTGTATGTTTCAAGGATCTTATTTACTTCTTACAGGTTGTTTAATTGTTGATATGTAGTTTTTAATATGAGTCCTTTATCTTTTTGTTTTTCTATGTCTATGACATTAAATGTGATGTCTGTTGTTTCTAATTGACAAAATCTGTCTTCTCTTTTTTCTCTGTCTAGTGTTTCTTGATTATGTTTGTTTTTTTCAAAAAATGAAACCATTAGTTTATTAGTTTCTATATGTTTTTATTTTCTATTTCATTAATTTCTATTATGATCTTTATTAATTTCCTTCCTTCTGTTAATTCAGGACATAATTTATTCTTTTTCTAGTTCCTTGAGGTATATAATAAAGTTGTTTTTGAGATTTTTCTTCTTTTTTAAAAAATTTTTATTTTTTAAAGACTTTATTTATTTATTTGACAGAGACCAAGCGGGCAGAGAGGCAGGCAGAGAGAGAGAGAGGAGGAAGCAGGCTCCCTGCCAAGCAGAGAGCCTGATGCGGGACTCGATGCCAGGACCCTGAGATCATGACCTGAGCTGAAGGCAGAGGCTTAACCCACTGAGCCACCCAGGCGCCCCAAGATTTTTCTTCTTTTTTAAATACTGCTGTTTTATTACTATGAACTTTTCTCTTAGAATTGCTTTTGCTGTGTTACATAAGTTTCTATATGTTGTGTTTTCTTTTTCTTTTCTTAAATATGGACCTCTTTACAAATTTTTGTGTCATCCTTGCACAAGGGCCATGCTAATCTTCTCTGTCTTGTTCCAATTTTAGTATATCTGCTAATGAAGTGAATATTGTGTTTCCACTTTTATTTGACTCATGATATTTTCTAATTCCCCTTTTGACTTCCTCTTTGTCCTATAGGTTATTCAATAATATATTGGTTAACTTCCATGTATTTGTGAGTATTTCTGTTCTCATTTTGTTCCTTATTCCTTGCTTCATTCCATTGTTGTCAGAAAAGATACAATGATTTCAGTTTTCTGGATTTGTTAAGACTTGTGTTTTGTGACTTGAAAGGATTATCTTTGGGAGTAATACAATCACTTTGTGTTGTTAAAAATCCTGAACTAGTTATCTCCTATTTGCCTCTGGGAATGGCTAGTAAAGTAAACACTAAAGGCTTGCCAAGTCCCTGAAAAGACCATGAAGTCCTGGAAGTAATTCAAAAGTTCCTGAAACTGAGGTCACTGTGGAAGGTCCTAATAACAATGACCTCAGGGGCGCCTGGGTGGCTCAGTGGGTTAAAGCCTCTGCCTTCAGCTCAGGTGATGATACAGGGTCCTGGGATTGAGCCCTGCATTGGGCTCTCTGCTCAGCATGGATCCTGCTTCCCTCTCTCTCTCTGCCTGCCTCTCTGCCTACTTGTGATCTCTGTCAAATAAATAAATAAAAATCTAGGGGAAAAAAAATGACCTCAAACCTCACAGTTCAAACCCCTACTCAGACTAATTGTTCTAATGCTCCCTTTAATCCTCAAGGGTGAGAGTATTTTTCTGTGGCCTGGAATGCCAAAATCATAGACCTAAAACAGAAAGTCGAAAATCTTTTCAATGAAAAATGCTGTGAAGTTCTTGGCCTTAAGCAAGCTCTGTAAGTGCCATTTGCATTATTTGAATCTTTCCCAGAAGACTTTTATGCGGAAAGCTTGCTTAAAGGTGTGTCATTCTGACTGCAGTCTCCTTTTGGCATTCCAAGGCTGAAGAAGATATTCAGAAACAAAGCTAAAATTTAGTTCATCATTAAAAAGCCTGAAATGTTTGAGACCGCAGTTAAGGAGAGCACCCCTCTGAGAATAAATTCATCACCCAGTGTTCATACTACTGAATCAGATGTTGGAGATCTTAACATCATTCAGGTGACAATTCCAGATGATGAATAAGAAAGAATATCAAAAGTTGAGAAAAACTAGACAACTTTTTCAGAGAAACAGTTAATGGCTCCTTCAGTCAAAATTTGGTGAAGCTATTAGTATGGGCTTTCCTGTGAATGTTCCGTGCAGGAAAATGGCAATTAACCCTGGCTGTGTGGTAGTTAATGGCATTCCTCCCACAGGGTCATTCAAAGCCCCCAGTTACCTGGAAATCAGCTCTTTGGGAAGAATCTTAGATTCTGCTGAGTTCATTAAATTCACAGTCATTAGACCATTTCTAGGACTTGTTGATCCTAGAATTGGTTGATCAGAGTGAGTCAAAAGGTCCAGTGATACAAGAATCAGCTGAGCCAAGCCAGTCGGAGGTTCCTGCAACAGAAGAAATAAAGAGACTGATGGAAACTCTCAGATCAAGCAAAAACCAGGCCCTGCATGTTAGACCTCTTCCCTCCAGGGTTAAAGTATTGGTGGGTCAGAAGAGTTTTCAGATGTGTTACTGCCACAGGCTGTTACTTTGTGTAACAGAAAAACCTTATTTTTTCTTTAAGCTTATATTCATTTGAGAGAGAGAGCAAGAGTAAGAGAGTGAGAGATCATGAGCAGGGAGAGGGGCAGAGGGAGAGGAAGTAGACTCTGCTGAGCAGGGAGCCTGATGAGAAGGTCAATCCCAAGATCCTGGGATCATGACCTGAGCTGAAGGTAGTCACTTACTTAACTGACTGAGCCACCCAAGTGCCCCACAGAAACTCCTTCTATACAAACATTTTTCCTTCTTTTAGATAGAAGTGTCTACTTTTTCAGCAGTTCTGTCAATTGAAATAAAGAGCAAAGTGACTGTAGATTTGGAATGGCTGGTTTACTTTGGAATGTATTATAAATATTTTACAGCAAAGCTGGAAAAAGGACAGGGAAAATGACAGGCATGGAACTCACCAGATTTTTTATGTATCAACAGAGCCTTCAACTATGGTGTCTATTTTCCAGTCAAGTGAAGATCTCCCCTACTGGAACATCATCTTCTGCAGTGAAGAAAACACTTGTGATAGTTCAACCCTTTAGTTTTTCTATTTGAAGAGTCATTTAAATGATCCTTTTGTTTACAGATCTCCTTGGTGACTGAGTGAACAGTTAGAATCTGTATATTTGACTAAACCCTTTCCTAAGCTATCTATCATGGTTCATATGATTTTTGTTATAATTAAAAAATCACCATCTGGATCACCTAATGGGAAATAACATATGTCAGCATGTGGCTTATAGATGGTATACAGAGAATCTCTTCTACATTTATTTTTCATCCAAAGGCATGGTGTACCAGATGTTTAAGATCAGGTCTGAGTGTTTGGGCAAGCTCAATGACACTAAACACTCACTATCATGCAACCTAAATTGTGGTGTGTATTTCTTTGGAACACTGCCCAGCTTGGATCAGACTCAAGGAGTTTTCATGGCCTTCATTATTTTAGAACTCTACTTGTAACTTTGAGGCTCCAGGGTGGGGAAGGAGGGGCTAATAAGCTAATTATGGACACTCTGATATTCTACACCATTTGTGGGAGAATCTTACATGTATTGGGATTTCACAGAAAATGAGAGCTAGAAAATACCAGCTATAAGAGAAGCTAGAGTATATGATGGCATAGAGTTTTCATTAGCTTTATCAAAATATTCACAATGGATAATTATATTACATGATAACAGAAATAGATATTTTTATGTGTTGCTTATATTTTACCTCAAGTTAAACTGTAGATGTAGGGTAATTAATAAAATGCATCTATTTGGAAAAAAGACCACCTCTTCAACAAATGATGTTGGGAAAATTGGACAGTCACATGCAGGAGAATGAAATGGGACCATTTCCTTATACCATACACAAAAATAGACTCAAAATAGATGAAGACCTGAGTGAAATAAGTCAAGCAGAAAGAGTCAATTATTATATGGTTTCACTTATTTGTGGAGCATAACAAATAACATGGAGGACAAGGGTAGTTAGAGAGGAGAAGAGAGTTGGGGGAAATTGGAAGGGGAGGTGAACCATGAGAGACTATGGACTCTGAAAAACAATCTGAGGGGTTTGAAGTGTCGGGGGGTGGGAGGTTGGGGGAACCAGGTGGTGGGTATTAGAGAGGGCGCCGCAGATTGCACGGAGCACTGGGTGTGGTGCAAAAACAAGGAATACTGTTATGTTGAAAATTAAAAAAAAACAATTAACATAAAAAAATAGATGAAGACTTCTGTGTGAGACAGGAATCTATCAAAATCCTTGAGGAGAACACAGGCAGCAACCTCTTCAACTTCAGCTGCAGCAACTTCTTCCTAGACATGTCTCCAAAGGCAAGAGAAACAAATGCAAAAATGAACTATTGGGACCTCATCAGGATAAAAAGCTTTTGCACAGCAAAGGAAACAGTCAGCAAAACCAAAAGAGAACTGACAGAATGGGAGAAGATATTTGCAAATGATGTATCAGATAAAGGGCTAGTATCCAAAATCTATAAAGGACTTATCAAACTCAACACCCAAAGAACAAATAATCCAATCAAGAACTGGGCAGAAGACATGAACAGATATTTCTGCAATGAAGACATCCAAATGACTATAACAAACACATGAAAAAATGCTCAACATCACACTGTGTTGGGGAAATACAAACCAAAACCACAGTGAGATACCACCTCACACCAGTCAGAGCGGCTAAAATTAGCAAGTTAGGAAATGACAGATGTTGCAAGAATGTGGAGAAGGGGGACCACTCTTGTACTCTTGGTGGGAATGCAAGCTGGTGCAATAGTTCTGGAAAACAGTGTGGATATTCTTCAAAAGTTGACAATAGAGCTACCCTATGACGCAGCAATTGCACTACTGGGTATTTACCTCAAAGATACAAATGTAGTGACCTGAAAGGCCACGTGTACCCCAATGTTCATAGCCAAATGTCCACAATAGCTTAACTATGGAAAGAGCCCAGATGTCCATCCACAGATGAATGGATAAAGAAGGTGTGTGATATATCCCAAACACAATGGAATACCACTCAGCCATCAAAAAGATGAAATTTTGCCATTTCTAATGACGTGGATGAAATTAGAGGTTACTATGCTAAGCGAAATAAGTTAGTGAGAGAAAGATAATTATCATACGATGTCACTTATATGTGGGATTTAAGAAACAAAACAGAGGATCATAGGGGAATAGAGTAAAAAATAAACAAGATGAAATCAGAGAGGAAGACAAACCATAAGAGACTCTTAATCATAGGAAACAACTGAGTGTTGTTAGAGGGGAGGGGTGTGGGGGATGGGTGTGAAGGATTGGGTAAGTGGGTGATAGACATTAAGGACGGCATGTGATATAATGAGCATTGGGTATTATATAAGAGTGATGAATCACTGATCTCTACCTCTGAAACTAATAATACATTATATGTTAATTAGTTGAACTAAGATATTAAAAAAATAAATAAAATGTGTCTTCTCACACTCCCACCCCAAAAGAAAAGAAAAAGAAGAAAAAAGACTTGTGTTTCGGCCTGTCATGTAATCTACCTTGGAGAATGCTCTGTGTGTACTGTAGAATGCTTATTTGTTGCTGTTTGGTAGACTGTTCTATATGTGTCTGTTAGGTCCCTTTGGTCTGTGGTGTTTTTCAAATCTGCTGTTTCCTTATTGATTTCCTGCCTGTATGATCTATCCATTGTTGAAAATAGGGTATTGAAGTTTCTTACTATTATTGTCGCTGTCCATTTCTTCTTCAGTTCTGTTAGTATTGCTTTATATACTTAGGTCCTCTGAACTTGGGTACACATACATTTATAATTCTTATATCTTATGTTAAATTGACTTAAAATCATTTTATAATGTCCTCTTCTGTCTTTGGTGAGTTTTTTGATCTAAAGTTCTGTTTGTCTGATAT